ATCAGTCATTCTTGGTGCTTTAATTTTATGGGGAAAGTCTACTAGCTGGACTCTGGTTTAAGAAATAATTGTATTAATTAGTAGTAGTCCACTTCTGTCCCCAACTAAAACATAAAAACAGTAACTCTGTATTATGGGCTAGAAATGGGTCAGACAATTTTTTTTAATCCTCTTCTTTTTTTCAACTTTTTATTGTGAATTGAGTGAAAGTTTACAGAGCAGATCATCAGTTTTACGTTCAACAAATCATATACTTTGCTTCGTTACATGTTTGCAAACCCCTCCATGTACCAACAGCTAACAGCATTTACCTCTAGTCACTTTAACTATTGCATTCCTCCCTGTGTTTTCTGCTACCTTCATCTTTCTTCTGCTAATCTCCCTCTTGTTGTATATTGTCTGACCTATCATCCATGTTGGAATCTTGATGCGGCACCGCTATAGGATCAGCACTGGACTGCAAAGCACATGGTCAGCAGTTCAAATTTACCAGCTGCTCCTTGGAAACCCTATACAGGGTTGCTGTGAGTTCCAAGATAGGGGAGACTAGTCATTCAGGCTTGCTGCAAGGTTGGCGGTTCAAACTCACTAGCTGCTCCTTGGAAACCCCATACAGGGTAGCTATGAGTTGGAACTGACTCGACAGCACTTAACAACAACATGACATATGTCAACATGGTCTACCCTCTAGTCCACACTCTTGGTGTGGAAATGTAGCATTAGCACTAATCTGCAAGCCACAAAGTCGGCAGTTCAAACCTTGGAAACTTTATACAAGACCGCTGTGAGTCCAAACTGACTCAACAACAACAACCTCTAGTCCAGGAATAATTTTCCTTTCCTCCTCCCCCTGTAACAATAACTGATGGCAATGGTCACTTCTATTAAGAAAACCTTTTCTTAACTTTTTATAACATTGGTCTCATACAGTATTTGTCCTTTGACTGATTTCCCTCCTCAGCATAATGTCCTCCACCTTCCATCCCTATTACAAGCTGTTTCACAGATTCATTGTGATTCTTCAGCATTGCATGGTAATCCATTGTATGTATATGCCAGAGTTTGCTTCATTTTATTTTATTTTATTTCATGATACCTTGTCCATGAGTCAGAGTCCTGGTGTGGCACTGCAGGATAAGCCCTGAACCTCAGGGTTGCTTTGAACTGCAAGGTCAGTGGTTCAAACTCCCCAGCCGCTTCTCAGAAACCCTAAACAGCAGGGTCACTATGAGTTGGAAATGACTCAAAGGCACTTAACAACAACACCATCCATGAGTCAGAATTTATTTCATGGCGCTGTAGCGTAAGCACTGAACTATTAACCATGGGTTGATCATTCAAACCCATCAGCTGTTCCTTGGAAACCCTTTGCATGGTTGCTGAGCCAACTTGGTGGCCCTTCACTACAAGAAGAAAATGAGAAAATGTTCATGCATGACCCCAGTGCAACCTGTAATTGAGCTGGCACACAGGGTACTGCTTCATGGTTTAGAATCGGAACTTTTAGGCGAGAGACTTTGGCTCTCTTTTTGTATCCAAAATAGTCAATTGAGTAATTAGTTAACTTCTGCTTTATTTATAACACTGGAGTTTGTCATGAAAAGTGGATGATTATTTCTTTGAAACCATGGCTTTGGGTTCCTCATCTAGAGTAACTTGGTTCAATATGTGAGCTGCACATAGGATGTGAAATTTTCTGGTAGCTACATTTAAAACATTAGAAAAGAAATGGCTGACATTAATTTTAAATAACATTTTATTTAACCAATATATGCTAAATACTATAATTTCAAAATTAACGAGAGAGTTTTCTCTTTTTTTTATAGTAAATTTTCAGGATCTGGTGTACATTTTATTTATACACACAGCACATCGTAGTTTGAACCAACAGCAGGTCACGTGCTCAGTAGCCTCTTGTGGCTAGTGATGACCATCTCAGGCTTTGCAGGTGTAGAGTTTTAGGAAATTCATGTGCGGTAGAATCTTCATTAACTGGCTGAAGTAGACAGATTTCTATGTAAACCAGGTCCTAAGACACTTAGGGCAGATCACGATGCTGTTAGCCTAGTAGGCAGATTTTAACTTGGCCCTTAAAATATGGAAATATTTTGAAAGTTCTAATGGCCTGTGATTTCTTACTGAGGTTAAAACAAGCCACGTGCTATATCATGGAATGTGCACTTAAGCTACTGCATTTATTCCAGCCAGTCAGTACTCATTGTTAGTGGTATATGACAGGTTAGACTTGGGGTGGGAGATGCTGAGGTGAGGGCAAACACGACAGAGTGGCAGCTGAAAAATACTCAGAAATTGCCTAAGAGATACTGTTAGACACGAACACACACAACACCCCCAACAACAAAAAGCTAGCACCCAGGAAGCTTATTCCCGTCTAACATGATGGCATATTTAATTTGTTTAAACATGTGCTGCATTGGGACAAATGCTTCATTCTGATGTTCTCATTTCTTTGTTTCACTGAACATTTTCACCAGTGGAATTCAAGTCCTAATACTTGGGGAGGGAAAATGCCTTAGGTCTGTGCTGTGAAATAATTGATTTAGAAGACTCAGTACAAAAAGAATGTAAAGTATCTCTATTTTTAGGATTACACATCAAAATGTTATTATTTTGGATGTATATATTAGTAAAGTTAATTTCACCTATTTCTTTTTACCCTTTTAACCTGGTTACTAGAAAAATTTTAATTCTATACTATAGCTTGCATTGGTGATGTTCTAATAGATAATGTTGCCTGAGAATAACAGAAAACTTGAATTGAGTAGAGCCCAGTTCCCATTCAGTGTAAAGATTGCTTCATAGATACTACCTGGGCTTTCCTGAACCAAGGTGCTGGAGAGCTCCACCTGTTGCTGTTTTCACAGTAGCAAGGGGGAGAAGTTTCTGTCTGTTACCCCAAAAGAGGAAGAAAGAACTGTGGCTCAGTCCTTTCATGTCCTCAGAGTACTTGATCATGAACCACTTATTGACAATTACACTTCCTGCTTTGAGGACAGTTTTTTTTTTTTTTTTTTTTTTTTTAATGTTTTATTGGTCCTGTTGGTTTTATTACCAGCTTGCTGAATTTTAATGAAAGTTGTTGTTGTTAAGTGTGTAGAGTCGATTCTGACCTATAGCGACCCTGTATATGGTTTCCAAGGAGAAGCTGGTGAGCTTGAACTGCCGACCTTGCAGTTCAAACGACTTTGCAGTCTGGCGCATTAACCCACAGAGCCACACCAAGACTCCTAGTACTGTTGTCTTTTCATCATGCCTTCTCTGAGAGACAATTCAAGATCTTTAGTTAAGTGTGTGCATTTTTGTGAATTGAATCTTTCACTAAATGTTCTCACTGTCCCAGGTAACCAACCATCTCATTAGGCTTTGTTATTGTTATTAAATGCCATCAAGTCAATTCTGACTCATAGTGACCCTATGCAGCATATCCGAGGCTTTAATTATTTTAATTCCGAGACTTTAACAGACTGTCTCATCTTTCTACCATGGGGCGGCTAGTAGGCTTGAACAGCCAACTTTGTAGTGCAGGGTCCAGTGCTTATTGTCTGGAGCCACTCAGCTCCCCTTGCATATCTTAGAACTGTGCATATTTTTAGAACCTCTAGTGAGTACTCGGGCTATATTGCTGTTTCCATGACCAGTGGAATCTTGGTGTGGCACTGTGGGTTAATGTGCTGGACTGAAAAGTTGATTTGAACCGCAAGGTCAGCAGTACAATCTTACCAGCTACTCCTTGGAAACCCTATACAAGGCCGCTATGGGTTGGAACCGACTCAGTGACACTTAACAACAGCAGGTATTCCCAAAATGGACTTAAACAAGTTGATTAGCTAAGTTGCTTCTCCTACCTAGGCATTTCACGGGATATTCATAAACTTGGGGACAGCTTGTATCCCTTGTACTTAACTTCCCATCTTTCTCATCCTAGACTGAGAAGTTAAGTAAACGAAATTACTTTTTGTTGAGTGAGAGAATCCCAGGGAGAGTCTTACTTATATTTTTAAACCTTGCTTTAGAATTTGCTCTGTCCTTCCAGAATATCCACACTCAGCATTTTTGTCTTAGTTCAGATTTACTGTGTCTCTGTAGGATAAACATAGGACTACGAACCACAAGGTCAGCGGTTTGAGCTCACCAACTGCTCCGCAGTAGGAAGATGAAGCTTTCTGCTCCCACAGAACTTCACAGCCTCAGAAATTCTACATGTGATCTCACTATGAGTGAAAGTTACCTAATGGCGCTTAACAATAACCACCTCATTGACTTCAAAGGGGGGGAGAGTGGAAAGAAAGGAATTGAAGCTTGTTGAGCATCAATTGTGTGCTAAGAACTGAGTTTGGGCACTTTAGCAATACCTTAACAGTCTGTGGTGGTAGTAGTTAGGTGGTGGTAGTTAGGGATCTCAAGTTGTCAAGTCAATTCTGACTCATAGTCACCCTCTACAGGGTTTCTGAAGTTGTAAATCTTTACGAGAGCCAACAGCCTTTAGAGGGATGGGTATTATGATTTATGTTTTATAGATGAAGAAATGGAGGTCTAGAAATGAAATCATTTTCTAACCTCACCAAACTGTGATAGTTCATGGATTCTAGAACGTGGATTCATGCTTACCTTGTAATCCCAATTTAGAAGAAGCTGGTCCCAGAGGTAGAGATTGTGCATGTGTGCTTATCATTTGGAATTGGGAGAACCATGCAAAATCCCTTTTAAAGCATTTTTTCATCCTTTTCTCAGCCCTGATGCTGCCCATATTGTGCAAAAAAGCTTTATCTGAGTGGTTCACCTCCGAGTGTTCATGGTGACCATATGGACATGTTGGTTTCTGAGTGGTTCAACTCCAAGTGTTCATGGTGACCATATGGACATGTTGGTTTCTGAGTGGTTCAACTCCGAGTGTTCATGGTGACCATATGGACATGTTGGTTTCTGAGTGGTTCATCTCCGAGTGTTCATGGTGACCATATGGACATGTTGGTTTACAGTTGGGAACCCGGATTCCAGCAGGATGGCCCAATGGAATCAGCTACAGCAGCTCGACACACGGTACTTAGAGCAACTGCATCAACTGTACAGTGACAGCTTCCCGATGGAACTACGACAATTTCTGGCCCCTTGGATCGAGAGTCAAGATTGGTAAGTCTTTCTTGAGAAACTTCCCAAATTGTTGGGTTGGGTTTGAGATGTGATCTACCCTAGCTTCACTAATTGGTAACTATTTCATCAAAATAGATAAAGGATATAAGAGAGAGAGAAAAGAGATAAAATTGTCTTAGTCTTGAAAAACATTTTTCTATAGTAGAAGAACATTGGGGCAACTCTCTCTTAGGACATGGTAGAAATATTTTGAGTGGAAATTCTACCACAGGTAGACAGTTCCGTCCACGCTTGTGATTTCCATTGTATTAAAGGAAAGAAACACGGGGTAAGAAAAACAGACTGTCATAGAGAAGATAATGACTTGGTAATCCAACAGCTGTTTCCTTCATTTTAATGGATTCAGGTCCAGTTACTAATTGTAGATTCATTCAGGCCTAGGAGTCCTGGTGTGATGCTATAGGATAAGCACTGGACTGCTAATAGCAAGGTTGGCAGTTCAAACCTACTAGTCATTCCTTAGAAACCCTATACAGACTTGCTATGAGTTGTAACCAATTCAATGTCACTTAACAACAACATGTTAATAAAACTTAGGGGTTTTTTCTGAGTACATACTGATTTGGTGAGGAGCTAAAGAGGTGATTCAGAGATGGAGATAGGCCATTTGAGCCTGGGATTGATCACTGTTGCTATGTGCCATGGAGTCGGTTCCGACTCATAGCGACCCTGTACGGGGTGTCCGAGGCTATAAATCTTTATGGGAGCAGAAAGCCTCATCTTTATCCCATGGAGCAGCTGGTAGTTTCGAACTGCTGACTTTGTGGATCGCAGCCCAATTCGTAACCACTACAGATTGATTATTGATTATTAGTAATCTGACCAGTAACTGAGAATGTAAAGCAGAATAATAGATCTATTCAAGTCATCTAATATTTTATAAGTATAGACTGTGTTGTTGTTGTTAAGTGCTGTCGAGTTGGTTTCGACACATAGTGACCCTTTATAGGGTTTCAAAGGAGCAGCTGGTGAGCTTGAACCACCGACCTTACAGTTCAAACGACTTTGCAGTCTGACACATTAGTTCACAGCACCACACCAGGAGTCTATAGACTGTGGTTGTTGTTGTTGTTAAGTGCCATCAAGTTGGTTCTGACCCATAGTGACCCTGTACAGGACCTGTACAGGGTCTCCGAGGCTGTAAATCTTTATGGGAGCAGAAAGCCTCATCTTTATCCCATGGAGCAGCTGGTAGTTTCGAACTGCTGACCTTGTGGTTCACAGCCCAATTCGTAACCACTATGCTACCAGAGCTCCTTATAGACTGTGGTAGTGGCCTGTAATATTTGGAATAATTGTTAAGTTAGTGGTGTTTATTGTTTCTGAATAAGATGAATCTCTAATTAGTGAGTTATAGTATCAGGTTTGCCTGATTTTCCTTCATCTTGATGGTGATTTTTATATGCATGTATCTAGGTAGGTTTCTGCATCCTTCTTCACTGTTCCTCCTTTTCCAGGGCATATGCTGCCAGCAAAGAATCACATGCCACTTTGGTGTTTCATAATCTCTTGGGTGAGATTGACCAGCAATACAGCCGCTTTCTACAAGAATCAAACGTTCTCTATCAGCACAATCTGCGAAGAATCAAGCAGTTCCTTCAGGTAATATGAGAAACTGAGTAGAAGGAGAATCTGGAGAATGGGGTTTTATGATTCTTTCATGGAAATATTTCTTTTCTCATTTGGTGAAATAATGAGAACAGAATTTATCTTTCCTTGTACTTTAAACCAAGGAGCAGTTATCAGCCCCTTTCTCAAATCTCTGTGTATTCAAGTACTATATACTTGAAAATCCGTAGGTGATATTCACAGGCCAGCTTCTCCTGCCACAGTTGAAGTAACAGCATAATTGTAACTGGGTGCCCTTGGGAAAAGACTCTTACTTTTAACTGTTAAAATTTTGCCAATGATTGGGTATTCCTTGACAAAGTCAGTTGCCCTCCCTATAATACTGGAATAACATACTGTCTGAAGACTCAGACCTGTGTTCCTTTGCCCACAGAGGTAACACAGCTCATTGTTATGTCCCGGTTTCTTCTCCTCTCCCCTTCATCCCCGCAGTGATTTCAGCCAGCCTCTGAGGACTATGTTCTGTTGTTTCATGTGCTAAGTGCTACGTTCCTCAACTTGTGAAAATGAAAATGAAAATGACAATGACGAGGCAGATTCCTGCCTAGGCTGTTGTCTTTAAGTATGGTACAGATCTCCTGATTATACTGCTGCTTTCATTCTCATTCTCTCCCACTTACAGAGCAGATACCTGGAGAAACCAATGGAAATTGCCCGAATTGTGGCCCGATGTCTATGGGAAGAGTCCCGCCTTCTCCAAACTGCCGCCACTGCAGCCCAGGTAAGAAGAGACGACACAAAGCACTGTGGAAGATAGGCCTTTACTCCTTGTGTGTAAAGAAGCATTTGCTTTTTGCATGGGCATTAGGATGCAAACTCTCCTGCAAGGTAGAAATGAGTGCTAATGAGGTATTTTCATGCAATGAAAATAACTAAATATTTTCCTGAGTATATAATACACTTCATTCTATTTTATTTCATTACAATCACTACTGTAACAAATCTCCAGGTATATCTTTTTTTTTTTTCCCCACTTTTTATTGCAAATTGAGTGGAGGTTTACAGAGTAGATCATCTGTTTTACACTCAACAAATGATATACTTCATTAAAATAATTGCGTTCCCCTCCATGTACTATTGTTGTTGTTGTTGAGTACCATTGAGTTGGTTCCAACCCATAGCAACCCTTTATAGGGTTTCTGAGGAGTAGCTGGTGAGCTTGACCTGCCGATCTTGCAGTTCAAACCAATTTTGTGGTCCATTGCATTAACCCACAACACCACAGCAGTACTCCCATGTACTATTAGTTAAGAGTATTTGCTTATATTTATTCTTGTGTTTAGTTTTATTTTAATTTTTATGGGTTAGATTTCTAGGATTGGCTTTGCTAGATCAACCCAAACCAAACCAAACCCACTGCCTCAAGGATAGATGTATTTCTTATTTTAGATAGCTCCAGATGGTTTTTCTCAAAGACTGTAACAGTTCGCATTTCTACCAGAAAGATACTATAACACATGTTTCTTCTTGGGAATCACCTTAGAGATAGAATTATTTACGTTCATATGTTTTCCCTCGTGTGGTTGAGTTTGAGAGTAGCCGCACTGAGCTAGAGATGCAGTTTGCGTAGGGAATAGAAATGTGACACCAAATGGTCCAGTGGGGGACCAGTTTCATGTCATCGTCTCATCATTTGTATTGATCTATCACAGACATGTGAAGTTATTGAAAATACCATGGCTTGGGTCAGGCGCTCCTTAGTCCTCAAGCTGACATCTTTGCTCTTCAACACTTTATAAAGGTCTTGTGCAGCAGCTTTGCCTAATGCAATGCATCATTTGATTTCTTTACTGTTGCATTCATGAGTGTTGATAGTTGATACAAGAAGAATGAAGTCCTTGGTAACTTCAGTCTTTTCTCCATGGGCTCCCAAAAGAACCAGTAGATCCGTTTTGGAAGAAGTGCAGCCAGAGTGCTCCTTGGAGGCCATGATGGCTAAGCTTCGTCTCTCATACTTTGGACATATTGTCAGGAGGGACCAGTCACTGGAGAAGGATATCATGTTTGGTAAGGTGGAGGGTCAGAGAAAAAGAGGAAGACCCCCAACGAGATGGATCGGCCAAGTGCCATCATTGATGGACTCAAGCGTGGGGTTGGCCCAGGATCGGGCAGTATTTCATTCTGCTGTGCATAAGGTCGTTGTGAGTCAGTACCGACTCGATGGCACCTAACAACACCAACATCACAGACATAGATCTATAACATCTGAAGCTCTCTATGTGTCTGTATGTTACATGAGCAGGCTTCAGAAAGGTCATAGAGAGAAGACAGAGCAGGACTGGGCCACATGTTGTTTTGTTCTCAGAAGTTCACATGCGTTAGAGCCAACTCAGTGTCAACAACAACAGTGACAGCTGTGAGGTGCCCTCAAGTTGGTTCCAACTCCTAGTGACCTTTATGCACAACAGAACGAAACACTGCCCTGTCCTGTGCCAACCTCAGTGGTGGCTACGCTTGAGCCCATTGCTGCTGCCACTATGCCAGTCTGTCTCATTAGGAGTCTTCCTCTTTTTCACTGACCCTCCACTTTACCTTCTGACAACCTGTCCAAAGGACAAAAGACAAAGTATCACCATCCTTGCTTCTAAGGTGCTTTCTGCCTCTACTTCTAAGACAGATTTGTTTCATCTTTTAGCAGTTCATCGTATATTTAAGATTCTTCATCAATATCATAATTCAAAGGCATCTGTTCTTCTATGGTCTTCCTTATTCATTGTCCAGCACTCTCATGCTTATGAGGTTATTGAAAATACTGTGGCTTGGGTCAGGTTAACCTACCTTGGTCCTCAAAGTGACATCTTTTAACAGGCCTTTTGCAGCAGTTTTTCCACATGCAATACATTGTTCAATTTGTTGACTGCTGCTTCCAAGGGCATTGATTATGGATCCAAGTAAAATGAAATATTTAACAATGTCAAAAAAAAATTCATGGAGAGGTGGAGCAGCTGAGGACTCTAGATTCATAGAAAGACTGAGAGCCGGTGGCCAGGAAGCAGGCTTGCAGAATGTGCCCTTTAGTGGTGTAAATGATTATATATGCCTGAGTGTTGTTGTTTTTTTAAAAAAGAACAAAAATGAATAGAGAGAAATGCTGTTAACTGATGGTACATGGAGGGGATTATAATCATTGTAATGAAACAAAATATATGCTTTGTTGAATGTAAAACTGATCATCTGCCCTGTAAACTTTCACTCAATTCACAATAAAAACTTAAAAAAAAAGTTCATGGAAAATTTCCATGATCTTTTTAACTCCATTTTCTCACAAATGTTTTGAAGCCCCGAGGGTTAACGCACTGGACGGCCGTTCAAGCTCACCAGCCATTCCTTGGAAAGACCCTATACAAGGTCACTATGAGTCAAAACTGACTTGACAGCATGTAACAACCACAACATATGTTGATAATGGCTGTTGAATCAATTCTGACTCAAAACGATCCTGCATAACAGTAAAATTACCTTATATGTTTCCTAGGCTGTAATCCTTATGGGCACAGGAGAAAGATGAGACTTTCTGCTCCCTCAGAGATTTAGAGCTTTGGAAACCCTATACAGAACCGACTCAACAGTATTTAACAATAGCAACAATGGGTATATGTATGGATGGATTGCACCACAATGAACAGAAAACAAAAATCCTCACACCTGGACCAATAAATAAATAATATCATGATAAATGGAGAAAATATTAAAGTTGTCAAAGACTTCATTTTGCTTGGATCCGTAATCAACACTCTTGGAAACAAGTATTGCATCAGGCAAATTTGCTGTAAAAACCTCTTTAAAGTGTTAAAGAACAAAGATACCAGTTTGAGGTCATGTGACAGTTGGGTAGTGAATAAGGAATTGATACATTTGAGATACGGTGTTGAAGAAGAATATTGAAAGTATTTAGAGTTGCCAGAAGAACAAACAAATCTGTTTTGGAGAAAGTATAGCCAGAATACTCTTTAGAAGCCAGGATGGTGAAACTTCTCTTATACCTTAAATATGTTAACAGGAGGGACCAGTCCCTGGAAAAGGACAGCATGTTGGTAAAGTAGAAGGTTGGTGGAAAAGAGGAAGACCCCCAACAAGATGAACAAGATGGATTAGCACAGTGGCAGCAGCAATGAACTCAAGTGTTAACAACAGTTGTGAGGAGAGTGCAGGACGGGACAGCACCTAACAGCAAAACACTATATATATGCATATATGTATATTATATATAAGATATAACATGATATGGTTTTTTTATTCCTTTCTACACATACACATTTATATATCCTAATGTGTATGCTAGTTATTATGACCCCCAGTTTAGAGGAAGTTTTGGTCTGGGTAAGAAAGAAAAACAACTTTATAATTAAATAAAATATAAAACATTCTAAAAAGGAAGGGAAATTTTAAAATATAATGTTGTTGTTGTTAAGTACCATCTAGTCGATTCCAACCCATAGCGACCCTGTACAGGGTTTCCGAGCCTGTAAATCTTCACAGGAGCAGAAAGTCTCATCTTTCTCCCGTGGAGCAGCTGATAGTTTCAAACTGCTGACCATAAGGTTTGCAGCCCAATTCATAACCACCACACTATCAGAGCTCCTTTTAAAATATATTAGTGATCATGAAACTACATTGAGTAGCCCTGTCATGGCACTGTAGGATAAGCAGTGGACTGTTAACCTTGAGGTCAGTGGTTCAAATCTACCAGTCGCTCCTTGTAAACCCTGTTCAGTGTTGCTAAGAACCAGAATTGAGTTGATGGCATTTAACAACTGCACTATTTTTATATAAATTGTATACCCCCTCACTCCATAACAGTAAGCTGACCCACCCAAATGGTATATAAGAGTTGTGTTGTAGCAAGCTTTCATGGTATAGTTGTTCCATTATTATTTTAACTCTTCCACAGTATATAAGAAGGGGGAAAAATATGTTTACAATAAGTTTCCAGCTTATTTTATGAGTCTGGACTATCCTCATATCAAAAGTGTGAGTCAAGAAAAAGGTTAGGATTTACTACATCTTTTATGTTCAACAAAAGCATGGTTTCTGTTTTAGAAATGCAAGGATGGTTCACCTGGATTTTACTAGTGGTTTTCATTAAATGAATTTACAGAATATCTATTTACAGATTGATCTTCCTAGAAAATCAAAGAGAAATGTAAATAAGAAAACTATCAGAATCAACAGTTGAGAAAAGTGATTATGTAAAATAGCCTATTCTCTTAAGAATCCGTAGTTTTCCTATACAGTAATAGTAATTGCCTGTTTGAAGTTGTCATGAAAGAAAAGATCAGATTCATAGTAGTAAAAATAGATGGTACAATGTGTCTGTATTATTATATGGGGGAGAAAGAGGGTGAGAAGGATATATAGCAAATCATTCAAATAGTTTGTTATAGGAGACTCATTTACTCTCTCTGAGTGGTTTTAATTTCTTTTATTATCCTATAGGCAGGGAAATATTTTATTTTTAAAGACAGAAATGTAGCAGGAAGATAAAAAACACCTGGATCTGAGCAAGCCGGGAAGGCATCCTAGTGAAAAGAGATAGTGATTGAGCCGAGACTTTAGGTGAACTACAAGTGCATGAGGCAGATGGTAAGAAGAAGACATTGTGAAGAACATTTTCTTGGGTGAAGTGTAGAGAACTTAGCACTGGGCTAGGCAGGGCCACATCATGGAGATCTTTTCAGTTAGTTATCCCTTGCAAATGGACCTTGGGAGCTTAGTGTACTACCAGGGCCCTGGGACCAGACTGCCTGCATTTTGAACCTCAGCTCTGACACTGTTGTGTAACTCTCTTCCTCCAAGAGGGATGATGATAGTAGCTCCTTCATAGAATTAATTCATATGTGTAAAATACTTAGAAAAGCACATGACACAGGAATGGGAAATAAATGCTGCTTCTCTCAGCATTACCATCTTTATCATCATCATCATCATCATCATCATCATCATCATCATCATCATCATGACGGTAGGAAGTGGAGACCCAGAAAACTGATATGCTCAGTTGTGGGCTAATAGATACATAGCACTGATAATAGCCACTGTTTGAGACACAGGAGGTAGTGAGATTGGCAAAAGGACAATTATCCATGAGTCACAAGGGTATTCTGTTTTGAAGAACCTTTGTGTGTTTCATGCAGTTGCATAAGATATTTGTAAGTCAGTTTGTGTAGTGGTTCCAACTTAACATTGGGAAATAGATAAGCAGAGGTGTCTCAAAGATATTTTTAATCACATGGAGCAGGGATCAGCACACTCTGCCCATGGCCCCAATCCAGCTCACTGATGGATTGGGACATCAAGTCTTTTTGGAACACAGCTACCTTGTTCATTTATATATTGTCTGCAGCTGCTTTCATGCTGCAATGGCAGAGTTGAGTGTCTGTGACAGAGACTGTAAGGACCACAAAGCCCTAAAATATTTAGCACCAGGTCATTACAGAAAGAGTTTCCCAACCTCTGATATTTAGCTACCAGCTGGATATTAAGGCTTCAACCCAGACTTTACTGTTATTTTCTCTGTTTGCTTCATCTGTCATGTTCTTAAATGTCTGTTACAAGTAAAATAAAGGAGACAGAAGATAAGTAAATGTGACCTGTTCTCATTCTGGTTGGGATTATATGTACACAGACACTCAAAGTGAGAAAAACATAGAGGAGGATGTGAGTAATTTTGTATAAGGAAGTTGAGTAAGATTTCTCAGGAGAGCAAACATTTGAACTGAGTTTGAAGGTGCATGAATTTGGGTTTGTTTGGGTAGAGGAGCGTGGCTAGACTGAGTGATGTGGGGAGGGAGAGGTAAAGTGTGAAAACTTGCTATATGTCGGGGAAGAGTGGGTAGTGTGGGGTAACTACAGCACAAGGAGGGAAGGTTTCGACTGTCAGATTATGTGAAACATCTTTCTGTGGCAGGTTGAGGTGTCTATACCTGGGCACAATGGGCACTGACAGTGGTTTCTATGAGTTCATTATTAACCACATAATTTTTTCCCCTTTTTACTTTAGTAGCAATTGAGAAATAGGCATGGAATACAGATTTACATATCAACTGTATTGTTAGTAAAGCTAGACCAGAAAGCATGGTTTGGACTAGTAACCATTATTGTTGTTGTTAGGTGCCATAGGTCGGTTCCAATTGATAGCAACACTATGCCCAACAGAATGAATGAAGCACCACCCGGTTGTGCACCATCCTCACAGTTGTTACCCTTGAGTCCATTGCTGCTGTACCAAAGTCATCTCATTGAGGGTCTTCCTTTTTTTTTCCTGACCCTTCACTTTACCAGGAATGATGTCCACAGGGACTGATCCTTTAGCATAACATGTCCAAGGTATGAGAATAGGTCTTATCATCCTGGCCTTTATGGAACATTCTGACTGTACTTCTTCCAACACAGATTTGTTTGGAATGCCTGCCCCCTGAGTTGAATCTTGGAGTAGAGAGTTTGGGTCTACAGGGCACCACTTCCCCAGCTGCCCTATGGAGATTCAGAGACCATAAAGTAATAGCTATTGAACACAGAGAACTGGACTCCTAGAACTCATAGAAACTAGGTTCTGTTGCTGCAGGTATGTCCCAGGAAGCCAGGAGTGGAAGGAAGAGGCCCAGTATGTAAGTAAGCTTCTTCTGAGAGATGTAGCCCAGAAGGCCCTGATGTGTTTGTGCACAGAGTTCTCCTCCCAGTCTCTCCAGTCAGATGAGTCACTCCCCCTGTGGGGAGAGTAAGTAGGGTGGGGCCTCTCCAAAGCTTTTAAGATAAGTTTGTGGACTTGGTGAGGGACCCTGAGAAAGAGAGCATGATTACCTTTCAAATTGGCATGTTTGATCTTTTTTTTCAGGGGGTGGTGGTGCTATTTTTAATAGTTTAGAAAACGGGTTGGAAGCGGGAGATTAGAGGCAGACAGATCGACTGTGCGATCTGAATTCAGACAAGGACAATCCAGATGAATTTAAGAAATAGAGGCAGGAGGATTTGGTGACTCAGTTGAAAGTGAGATGAATTTAAGAGATAGAGGCAGGAGGATTTGGTGACTCAGTTGAAAGTGAGGAAGAAATAAGAAATGACTAAGGATTTGGAAAATGGCTAGTTAGTATCTTCTCTAGACTGTTTTCTCTTCCATCAATCAGTATTTCTGCCCTGTGCCAGCACTCACACGCTGTCCCTTAATCACTGCAGTGTTTCTATGTCCCATAAAATATAGAAGGTATCTTACTGCTTTACTTTGGTAAACTTGCCATTTTAAAATATCATGTTATTCAAGGCACCCCCAGAAATAATATCTTTTAATATGCAATTTCATCCCTGGGGGCAGAATGGGTTTTTTGAGTTGTTGGTTCTTTTGTGTAGTGAAGCAAGTGAGGCTTAATGTCTGTCACATATAGAGGAGGCAGAGGGGCTTTGCGTCTTTCAGAGACTGGTTTTGACTATCCTACAGAAATATTTAATTCATATCCAGCATCTTCAGCAATAAATTACTCTGGTGTTTGGGTGAAGGCAAGGACCATGTGGTCTCCCAGTGCAGTACACAGTCTCCATGGCGAGGCTGGAGCCCTAACACCAGTTAAACTATGCGAGAGCTTCCTTGGTACACAGTGACCAGCACCTGGAGTGCACCACCCATGACTTCATGGCCAGGTTCACCGCCTGACCCTGCTGCCCAGCGGGAAGGGGGCAGGTAGAATGAGATGAAGACTGAACAGAGGTGGTTTTCTCCCCATATTTCATGTATTCACCTGCGTTAACTCCCTTTTTGGCAGCAAGGGGGCCAGGCCAACCACCCCACAGCAGCTGTGGTGACGGAGAAGCAGCAGATGCTGGAGCAGCACCTACAGGATGTTCGGAAGAGAGTACAGGTGAGACCAGTCGGAGGCAGGGAGGCTTTGCTCAGGAATAGCGAATAGCGTGTGTAGGTCCTACGTGTGCTCTTCATGGGGTTTTGGCTTTATTTCATTCTCAGGAACTTTCTTTTTCCCTTCTCACTAAGGAAATCTTTTTTACTTCTATTTTTTTGTTGCTGTTCTGTTTTAAACAGGATCTAGAACAGAAAATGAAAGTGGTGGAAAATCTCCAGGATGACTTTGATTTCAACTATAAAACCCTCAAGAGTCAAGGAGGCAAGTAAATATTAGAGACTGTTAAATGTTCGGTAGTGAGCTTGTGTTACTTGTTTGTCTTGACTGTGTGCTTAGACTTTAGAGGAGTTAGGGACTACTCATGCTTCAGGGAGTCTTGTTAAATGGCAAGAGTATTCCCTTAGGCTATGATGTTTTCCCTTCCTCCATAGACATGCAAGATCTAAATGGAAACAACCAATCAGTGACCAGGCAGAAGATGCAGCAACTTGAACAGATGCTGACTGCGCTGGACCAGATGCGAAGAGTAAGAACACTGGCCACCTTCCCCGGAATGTTGATCTCACCTCAGGGTATTGGCATCTCGTAGCAGCACTTGCCTGGTTTCTATTAAGTTCCTTCTTGGAAACTGACTAAACATTGTGGTTAGAGACAGTCTAAGGAAATGTTTTCTGACTTTGTTTTGGTTTCCAATCAGAGCATTGTAAGTGAGTTGGCGGGGCTTTTGTCAGCGATGGAGTATGTGCAGAAAACTCTCACAGACGAAGAGCTAGCTGACTGGAAGAGGAGGCAACAGATTGCTTGCATTGGCGGCCCTCCCAACATTTGCCTAGATCGTCTAGAAAACTGGTAAAAGACGAAAGAGAAAAGTGTTGTTGTTTTTTCCTTCTAGAAAGCTGAGTTTAGTCCTAACTGCAGGCCAAAAGACTGGGGACTTTCACATACTCAAATTTAGTCCAAGAGTTAGAATTTCAGTTTATTTGGACATTTTTTAAAAATGAAAATATATTTGTGTAACTGTTTTAAATATATTTTATTTAACGACTTAAAGTTTTTGTGGCTTAACAGTATTTAACACAGAGGATAATTTTCAAGTTTTAGTTATTTTAATAATCTAAAATGAACCATGAACTTCGTAAATGAAGTTAATAAAGCAAGAAAAAGCCTTCTAAGGTCTAGTCACACAAAGGTGTACTTTGTATTAGCATTTTAATAGCAATCATTCTAGACATCTGTCATTGTACATAAACACACAAAGATACAAATTGGGACTTTTTTACATCCCTGTAACAATAGTTTTTAAATTATTGTTTTCTGTTGAGAATATACACAGCAAAACATGCACCAGTTCCTTAGTGTCTATGTGTATAGTCCCGTAGCAGTGACTGTGTTCAAGTGTGCAACCATTCTCATCCTCCTTTTCTGAGTTGTTCCTCCTCCGTTAACATAAACTCTCTGCCCACTAGGATTCCCATCTAATTTTTAGAGTTGTTGTTGTTGTCAATTTGACCCCACATAGAGAGTTCTTTAAAAAAGTATGATGCTCAAGGCAGACATTTGTTTTTACTAGTTAAGCTAAACTATTACTTGGTTTTATGAAGACTTCAGGGATATTTTTGGTTTAAGATTTGAAGATGATCTCAGAGCAATAGTTTCAGGATTCCTTCCATTCTTCATAACTATAGAAACTCTGAAGTTCCTGAGAATATGAAATTCTGCTCTGTATTTCCCTTCTTTTGATCAGGATGCTGCTCTAGAATCTTTGATCTCTGTGTTCAGTAATGGTGGTTGGTCACTATGTGTTTCTGGTCTCATGGCAAAGGAGGCAGTTTTTCATAAGGCATTTAGCCACGTTGTCCAGTTCCTCCTCCTATTCCTGAGTCGCCTTCTTCCTCTGTTGCTCAGTGCCATTAGAGACCAATGGTTGTGCCTTGGATGGATGGCTATGTGCAAGCTTTTAAGGCTGTAGGCACCATGCAACAAATTGTGAGGTAGAACAGAGCACTAAACATACTAGGTCCCATAAACCTCCAAACCAAGGAATCAAGCAGTCCCATGAGGTTAGGCTGTACATAACAATGTGTTATATACTCTTTGATAATCTCATCTTAATATAATTTGTCATTAATCCAACCAGTTTTTATTGAGCACCCTTGGCATACCTCTTGTACAACTGAAACTAGAAAAAGAACAGGGTATGAAGGGGAACCCAGATACATGGATCAATACTTTGAAAATTTAGGATACCTCCACATGAAAATGCCTTTTTCTTTCATATCCTCACTGATGATGCTGCTGGTGTTGTTAAAATGCCAGCAAGTCGGTTTCGACTCACAGTGACCCGGTATAGGTTTTCCAAGGAACAGCTGGTGAGCTTAAACTATTGCCCTTGCGATTCAAGTTGACCTTGAGTCCAGTGCTTATCCTAAGGCGCCACACCAGGACCAATTCTAAGCTTTATCAATTTATTGGAAACATTTAAAAATGTCTCCTGATGAGGAAACAAAAAAGTTTAAATTCTGGGAACGGGAGGATATAAGTGCTAAAAGGGAGGCAGGAAACTAAGAAATCCTTGCAGGTGTCCTCTTCTTCTCCTGTGCCTCTTTTCTTTGAGGTCTTTTACTTTTGTTGCTATAGCGCTGTGGGATAATGCACCGGACCGCAGGTCACTTTGAATTGCAAGGTCATCGGATCAAATTCATTAGCCAATTCTCAGAAACCCTATACAGGGTTGCTATGTGTCGGAACCAACTTGATGGCACTTAACAACAATAACTACTAGTGTAGGCCACCAAAGAGACACTAATATTCTCTTTTCTTAGAAATCAGTTTGATTAGTCTTTGTCTCCCTGTCTGTTCCCTTTTACTAAATGCTTGTAATTGATATTTTGGAATGTAATTTCATGTCCATTGAAGGTTAACATTGAAAGGACTTGTGGAGATCATGCAGTTCAACCCCTTCTCTTTATATAAGGGGACATGAAAGCCTATGGTGGTGAAGGGACCTGACCAGACTTGCACAAATAGTGAGTGGCAGAGCTAGCTCAAACACGATCTTCTACATTTACCTAGTCTTCCCATTTTGGTACATGGACAAGTTGGGTTGAGGAAATAGAATGCCAAACTTCACATTTCATGTTCTCCGTATCTGGGTTCAGGTGCTTATTACTTTCCAGTGATAACTCCATTCTTGCCTCCTAGTATGAGAAGTTTTGACACTTCCTCTCAGCCTGGCCTCTTCCTAGAAATTAAAAATTTTAGAAAGGGGTTGTAAAAGGACAAGTGGCACTGTAGGATAAGCATTGGACTGCTAACCACAATGTTGGCAGTTTAAACCCACCAGCTACACTCTTGGAAACCCTGTACAGGGTCGCTATGAGTCGAAACTGACTTGTTGGCTCTTAACAACAAACAACATAACCTATGGCGCTATAAGATAAGCATTGGACTTCTAAACACAAGTGGTTCAAACCCACCAGCCACTCCTTGGAAACCCTATACAAAGTCACTATGAGTCAGAACACTAAACAACAACAACGTACTTACTGTATTACCTTCTCCAGCTCATCTGCTACATTAACTAGTAACTCTCTCATTTTATTGGCAGGATAACATCGTTAGCAGAATCTCAACTTCAAACCCGCCAACAAATTAAGAAGTTGGAGGAATTGCAGCAAAAAGTTTCCTATAAAGGGGATCCCATTGTACAGCACCGGCCTATGCTCGAGGAGAGAATTGTAGAGTTATTTAGAAACTTAATGAAAAGGTAACTTAGCATCCTTGTCTTTTTCCCTGTCTTCTTCCCGCCTTACCTTACCCTCCCTGCCAAAAAAAATAGCCCTGAAATGAGACTGAGAATCCAACTCTTCCAAGAACAGGACAAAGACCGTCCTCCACAACCGTGTATGACCTGCTGTCCTTCTCGTTCCCTTGCAGTGCCTTTGTGGTTGAGCGGCAGCCCTGCATGCCCATGCATCCTGACCGGCCCTTGGTCATCAAGACTGGTGTCCAGTTTACTACTAAAGTCAGGTGGGTGGCTGCACTACATTTCTGGTAGATATTTTACACAGGAGCCCTCTTAGGGCAGGGGCAGAGTTGGTGGCTAGGGTTGGGGGATTTTTTTAGGTCTCACAGGCCTAGCATTTTGTTGACTTAATAAGATTTGATTCTGATGTCAAAAACTAAAGAATGGTAATCATTTTGAGGTTACCTGAGCATATTGTTTGTTCTTCTGCATTTTATTTGTTACTGTTTAGCTTTTTATTGTGAATTAAGCAAAAGTTTCAAAGCAGATCATCATTTTATATTCAACAAATCATCCATTTGGTTTCATCTCAGTGATTACAATCCACTCAATGTAACATCACTTATTTCACTTCTCCTTGTGTTTCCTGTTTCCATTTCTCCTCCTTTTCCAACGATTCTGAAGTTTTTCCTTGAGTAGCTGCTTCCCTTTTGATCGTGAATAGTTGACCATTCTCTGGTTTGTGTACCTCACTAGTGATGTTGTCCTACCTATGTTTTGCTTGGCTGGAAATTGAGCCATGGGGTTGAGTTCAGTTCCAGACCTGAAGGGTGACCAATGGCCCGTAGTCTAAGGGTTCTATCATTTCCTGTCTCACCAGTAAGCCTGGTCATTTTTGTAATTTTGAGTTTTGTTCCACATTTTCTCCTACTTTTTCCAGGACCTTTGACCGTGATCCCTTTCAGAGCAGTTGATAGGGGTATCTGGGCACCAATCATCTAGTTCTTCTGGTCTCAAGGTGATTGAGACTGATGTTCACATGGTCTATTAGTTGTAATAATTGTTTTGAGTTGTCTAATTTTTATCACTCTTCTTTCCTTTGAACTGGGAGAGAACAATAGTTGCATCTAAAATGACCATTCATGAACTTTTAAGATCCTAGTTGATACTCACCAAATAGGATGTAAAGTATGCTCTTTGTGGACTGTGTTATGCCAGTTGACCATGGTATCTTCCGAGACGGTGTGGTCCGAGTCCCCAGACCCAGTGACTCATTCCCTCAGGATATTTGGCAACATGTCTGCCCTCTAGCCAGTGAATTGTTCCTGCTTCCCTTCCACCCCTGGTAATAATCAAAGAATGTTTCTTTGAGTGTGAATATCTTTTCTTGATTTTTGATAATAGTGATCTCATGAAATATTTGTTTGTGTGATCAACTGATTTCACTCAGCATAACAGCCTCCAGGTTCATCCATGTTATGAGGTGGTGTTTTTTGTGATGCTGCTGGTTTCTCTGTTCCATGTAATTTTCTGAGCAGAGTTCATTACGTTTGTTGTTTATTATGTTCTTCGTTTTTATTTTGATGAGAAAGTTCATTAATTTTCCTTGAGGTTGCCCTGTAGTTTATTAATTTCTTTTCAAGTTTAAAATAATCTGTTCTGTCTTGAAATTTACTTGATTTCCTCTCCATTCAGAAGTTCTGTAACTACACTATTCCCTCTTTTAACTTTATAGTTGTCTTCATTATAAATTGTTATCTCTCGTTCCCTATTTTCAGTCTTGTAGTTTTGTTTTACATTGAATGCTTCTATATCTGGGTTGACTTGTAGGTGGCGGTGTCATGCATGTTACTCTCAGACTGTTGTCTGTTGTTGGTTCTGTGTCCAAAGAATGCTCTTTAGTATTTTTTGTAAAGTTGGACTGATTTTTACAAATTAATGTCAGTTTATATGGAAATGTCATAATTTTGATGTCATATTTGATAGGCATTTTTTCCCCCAAAAGTTTAATATTTACCATCCTATTTCCTTCTTGCCTGCATGGTTTCTTCTGAAAAATTGGATCTTTGTTTTATTGGTTCTCCTTTGTAGGTAATTTTTTGGGTTGTGTTTTACAAGCTGCTCTCAGGAGCCTTTCCTTGTCTTTGGTTCTGGGAAGTTTGATTTTAATATGTTTTGGTGTTCTTCTGGGGGTTTATCTTCTTTGGAGTTCATTCAGCTTCTTGAATGCTTAGCTTCTTGTCTTTCATGATGTTAGGGAAGTTTTCTTCTAGCAACTCTTTGACAATTTTCCGTTTTTTTGTGTGTGTGTGTGCGTGTAAGCGTACATATGTCTTCCTGTTCTGAAATTTCAGTCACTCATAAGTAGCTCTTGCCCAGTGTGTGGGGCTGCAGGGGTTACAACTGTGGCTGGCTGTATGGAAACAGATGCTGTCTCCCATCAGGTAATGCAAGAAGAAACACACACATATATTAGCAAACAAAGGCAACAACAAAAAAAGGGAGAATAAAAGAGATTTAAAAAAACAGGTTGTTGTTGTTGTTGTTAATAACATGCCGTGGAGTCGGTTCCAACCCATAGCGACCCTGTACAGGGTTTCCAAGGCTGTAAATCTTTACAAGAGTAGAAAGCCTCATCTTTCTCCCACGGAGCAGCTGGTAGTTTCGAACTGTTGACCTCAAGGTTCACAGCCTGATTCGTAACCAGGTTAGCAGCAAGAAAAAAAGAAAAAGAAAAAAAATGGAAAGGAAAATAAAACTAGAAAAGAGAAAATAAAGGGATAAAACGTAATAAAACTATTGACAGAGAAGAAAAAAAACAACATGATAGTAAAGAGAAATCAAGAGGGAAAAGAAAGAGAAGAAGGGGAGGGGAGAGGAAAAGAAACAAGGAAAAAAGGAGAGCAGAGAAAGAAAAGATAACCAAAGAAAAGCAGAGAGAAGAAAAAGGAGAAAGGAAAAAACAAGGGCAGTGCCCAGACCCAGAGTGGAGGGCAGGTTACTTGGTATGGGTTGGCACCCTCTGAAATGTGAGGGGAAGGGGGAGAAGATAGCATGCCTGGCCCTAGATGGAATTCCTGTAAGCTTAGGTGGTGTCTATAGCCAGGGCATCTAATCCAATAGTAGTTCATGCAGGCCCTAACAGTGACTGAGGTCAGGGCCTTTGTTTCCAGAAGGAACTCCTTCAGGCCCAAAGGATAGCTGGGAGCAGGGTGGTTGGTGATGAGAGTCCTGTGGTCCAGGGACTGGTTCTGCTCATTTTGCTTATCTGAAGAGGTAACCGAATTCATGTGACAATGGGGTGGTTCACCCAGTGCTCAGCTTACAATGGCAGAGCAGGGAGTGTGCAGGGGGTGGGTAAGAGTGAGGGATGGCCACACCTCTGGTCACCAGGAGAGTGTAGGCAACAGGGAAGAATTATACCTTCTTGTCTCTAGCCACCAGTGTGTGTCTGTTCAGTCAGTTTGTCGTGACTGAATGCTGTTGGCAAAAGTTCAGGATGGCTGCATTGAGTCAGGCCGGTTGGCGCTCACCCGTCTGTCTCTTATCGCTGCCTGTGTTTCGCTTCTTCTCCTAGTCAGTATTCAATCCACTTCTCTAACCTTTCCTCTGAAGCTTAGGATTTCAGGATAATCATCTGTTTCATTTGGTCCGTTGTGTTTTTGTTGTGTAGCACTGTCAGATAAGCATTGGACTGCTAACTGGTAATCGCAAGCAGTTCAAACCCACCAGCTGCGTTTGGAAACCCTAAACAGGTTTGCTTTGAGTCGGAAATGATTCCATTGTTCACAACAATAATCTTTGTTGTAGAGGGTCTGTAGATGTCTGCCTGGTCACACCATCTTGCTGGAATTCGTTTTTATGACTCTTAACCTAGAGACTGGAGTTCTGGTGTGGCATTGTGGGTCAAAGTTGGTTTGAACCATGAGTTCAGTGGTTCAGTCTCACCAGCTGCTCCTCAGAAACCCTATACAGGGTCGCTGTGAGTTGGAACTGACTCGACGGCTCTTAACAACAACACAGTAACCTAGTGTCTAGAGTCCTGGTGCGGTGCTGTAGGATAAGCACTCAACCACAAGGTCAGTTTGAACCACCAGGTCAGCAGTTCAATCTCACCAGTTGCTCCTCGGAAACCCTATATAGGGTTGCTGTGAGTCAGAACCGATGCAATTGCACCCAACAACAACAATAACAAAACGGAAGTGCAAAATCATTTCTGTTCATTGAAACTACTTTCCTTGAGGTTGGAAGGGAAAGGTAAGATGTCTTAATATAGAACCTAAGAAGTCATATAAATGACAAAGTCGAGTTATTTTCACACTCGTGTCACAGAAAGTAATGCTGGGGTTTTGCCATACTACAGTGAAATTTACCTCTTCAGAAACTTAATGTGATGTTGGGTTTCAGTTTAATAAAGAGAATATCAGAGCTGCAGAATATGCATTCCTATAATATTTTTCTTGAAATTCCTTTTATTGTTTTTTTTATGACTTTCCCATAACTTTGTCCAAGTTCTCAATTTTGGTGTTTTTATTCCCCCAGTACTTTCAGGCCTAGAAGGGTGATGCTCAGTTTAAGATTGAAGGAGCAATTTGGGATTGTGATTTATTTACCTCATGGAAATGAAATTGTGCATTCTGAATGTCTTCAAGGCTAAGTGATTAATTTTTTCTTTACTTTTTTCCCTTTGTTTTTTAACAGGTTGTTGGTCAAATTCCCTGAGTTAAATTATCAGCTTAAAATTAAAGTGTGCATTGACAAGTAAGTACTCCCAGCCTTAGCTCTTTTTTTTTCCCCCCAAATAAAGGGCAGAGAAATGAGTGCCTTGACGGATATGATTTGAATTTAGGGATGTTATCTGCATTTAGAGATCTTCATTTTGTGAACAGAGCTTTCCAAAAGCTTCGCAGTGCATCTTCATTTACGTGCCTGAACAAAACCACAAACTCTGGTGCTAAGATATAAGTTGAGATTGCTATTGTGACCTTCTGTCCTTTTTCTCTATTTAGCTTTTTACTTATGAATGTAATTTATGCACATTATATAAGATTGAGAATATAAGGAAAAGGTAGATGGTTTTTTTCCCTACACATCACTAACCACAAGACCATCAGAATTAGCATTCGTTATTCTATTTTCTTAAATGATATGCATGCTTTTTTGCTAATTTTATAGGTCAGGTTAGCAAAATGTTACCTTTTATAGGTTGGGTTGTAGATAAACACTGGACTACTAACTGTAAGGTTGGTGGTTCTGTTCCTTAGAAACTCAATACAGGGACGTGTTGGTTGGAACCTCCTTGAAGGCACTTAACAACAGCGTAGGTGGGGTTGGTAGGTTAGTGCTGTATGTAGTACATTTGTGTTTCCCAAAGCACAGTGCTTGCAATTTGGTAACTGCCCTTGAAGTACTTCCTGGTGGCCCCTGGTTATGACTTGGTCACACTTTCCGTTTGGTCACACTTTCCATTGATTATTAATAATATAGTTGAAATTATATAATACAGACTCCCATAAACCTGTATGTAATTAATGTTTGATTTTTGTTATTTTTGTGGGGTTTTTTTGTGGTGATGTTTAATTATTTTTCCATAACTTTACAGCTCTTAATTTTAATATTAACTTTTCATTGTAATTATGAAACACATCCAAGGAATAGTCTTGTCCTTTCTACTTTTGACTAGAATTTTTATTTTATTTAAGGAACTAAAGTAACAGTTTTTTTTATAGGTAACAGCTAATTTTATAGTAACATGAATATAGCTCAGCATTCATGTTATTTATACTATCAAAGTGGTGTAAAAGGAATTAGATAAATCATGCTATAGCCATAAAATGGAATATTATGTAGCAATTTAAAATTATGAGCCATGTTGACACTGTAGGATAAAGCACTGGACTGCTAACCACTAGACTGGCAGTTCAAATCCACCAGATACTCCATGGTAGAAAAATTTACAGTCCTGGAAACCCTATATAAGTCGTATGAGTCAGAATCAACTCAGAATATATATATATATTTTGTTGTTGTTGTTGTTGTTGTTGTTGTTATGTGCCATGGAGTCAGTTCTGACTCATAGTTGAACCCTTAATAGGGTTTCCAAGGCTGTAAATAAATCTTTACCAGAGCAGAAAGCCTCATCTTTCTCCCAAGGAACAGCTGGTAGTTTTGAACTGCTGATGTTGCAGCTCGCAGCCTGATTCATAACCACTACGCTACCAGAGCTCCATATATATATATATATATGAGGGAGAAGCTTACTGTGGAGGAAAGAGCCTACAATTGCATGTCCCCAGTAGAAAAGACTGTGCATTCTATCAGGAGCAGGCCACACCCCCAAAGAAGCATCCCTTTAATTGATTGGCTAGTCATAGCTGCTCATCAGAGTTAACTGTCTATGCCTGTATTAGGATCCATCACCATGGGAATAAACAGATCCCAACTGCCAAACTTCTAGAAATCCTGGCCTAGTCAAGTTGACACAAAACCCTAACCATTACAGTGGGTGTGGGGGTTTTGGTGTATATATGTAGTGGCATGGAAAAGTATTTATGGTAAATGATAAGTTGAAAAATGGCTATAACTCAGCATGACTTATTTCTATTAAAAATGAAGTTGAAAATTATATTCATGTGTATAGTCATAGAAAAGAGGCTAGTAGTCTGTATGTTAACATTGATTCTTTTTGGGATTGAGATTATGATAATGAATGTGCTTTTGTTACGGATCCTTTTTTAGTTCTGACTTTTTATGATGTACATATATTAATTTTAAGGTCAAGATTTAAAAAATAGATTATAATTTTAAAAACTAATTAAAATAATAGCTATGGTTACATTTTTTAAAAATGATAAAACTTGTCACAATAGTTGTAAATCAGTCTTTGTCAGAACATTCCAAGAGTTCAGGAGTTCAAATGAACTGGCAGTGAAGGTTTTTGTTTTTAACTTTTTTGAAGTGTAGCATACTTACAAGTCAAATATTTCATGTCTGTTGTTCTCCTGTTTCTAATCTGTTCTCTCTACCAGTTAGTGCTCAGCATTCATGCTGTTTAAGGTCTTAAGGGAAAGGCCTCTGGAGTGGCGCTGTAGGACAATCACTAGACTGGTAACTGCAAGGTCAGCAAATCAAACCTACCAGCACCTCTCAGAAACCCTATACAGGGTCGCTATTAGTCAGAACTGACTCACTGGTACAACAACTACCATGGTTGTGTCTTCAGTTGAAAGGAGAAGCAGAAAAAAAAGGAGAAAATGTCTGGATAGCTTGCAGTAGTCTCTTAATAGATTTCTAAACTCTCTGTTTTATGGTGTTTTTCTCTGTTTGGGGGACAGCTTCGTAACATTAAGGATTCATTTCGTTTCTTAGTTCTGTTACGACAACTTATTTTTTAATCCATCAGGCCCATGTTGTCCATGTGAATATTTTTAAGCATAGTTAAAGCATAAATTTGTTAATACCAAAGAATCCATGTACTTGAAAATATAAAGGAAATTTTAATCTTAAGTGCTTTTGTATTGAAAACGAGAAAAAAATATTCAGCGGGAGAGTCTGGAAAAACACAATAAACCTAAGGAAAGTGTGAAGAAAGAACTTGTGAAGATCCAAATATAAAAGTGAATTCTAACACATAAAAATAGTGTCTTAGTCTTACTTATAAATTATAGCATTGATAAATTTAGAAACTTAGACTAGCGAACTAGACCTCAGGCAAGGGTACTGAAGAAAACAAATATACAGAAAATTATAATGAAAAGATATATTCAGATATAATATATACAAAGAAAATTATCATAGTACAATATAGCAACTTGTAAATCTTGATGAAATGGGTATTTCTTTAGAAAAATACATTTTCTAAAATTGATGGATTGCTTCCCTATTAATTCTAACAGACTACCATTACCACAAGGAGCTCTGGTAGTGTAGTGGTTACAAATCGGACTGCTAACCTCAAGATTGGCAGTTTGCAACTACCAGTGGTTCCGCGGAAAAAAGATGAGGCGGTCTGTTCCTGTAAAGATTTACAGCCTTGGAAACCCTGTGTAGGGTCACTATGAGTCGGAACCGACTCCACGGTATATAACAACAAACATTACCACATGGACAAACTTTTATACATATAGCTGTTTTAAAAATAAACTTGAAAACATAAGTTAATCTCACTTGTAATATAGAGATAAAGGTCCTAAATAAGAGTTCTGCAACCATAGTGCTGGTGGT